TGCCTTACTTGGATATAAAGCCCCCTCAAGAGTTATTCTAAGAGAGATAATACTGTTTGCGAAGAAAATAATGTTCCTGAATATTATCTAGTTGGTTAACTATCAGAATCAAGATTGGGAAAAATTATATCTATTAATAATTGTATGATTCAGTTGTGAATAAGAAAAACAGTAACACATGGTACTTACACTTTATATAGACGTAAATTGTTAGACTAGTATCTCATCCACTCTTGCCAAGCGGTAAGATGCTTGCCTGATAAAATGGGGGCTCGAGTTCGTGTTCCATGTAAGCCGAATTTTTTTTTTGTTTCTATAACTGTTAATATTTCAAGTAATCATTCTATTAATGTATAAATTATAATCGTTGCACAAAGTTTTTTTATTTATTTTTCTTTCAGAAATCTCACCTGAGATTTCAGATGAGAATTTGGCATGAGATCTCACCTAAGATCTCAGGTGAGAAGTCACATGAGATATCAGATGAGATCTCAGGTGAGAAGTCACATGAGATATCAGATGAGATCTCAGGTGAGATTTGTCTGGAGGGAAACAATGCGTTTTGGGGCATTTACAGTCAAATGAAATAGGTGAAAATTGAGAGGTTTGGAAAATTTTCGATAGAAAAAATTACAAGTTTCGTGCGCTAAAACAAATTCAAGTATCTTTAGTGCCAAAAAATACAAGTTCCAAAGAAAAAAAACATACATTTAGGAACATTAAAAGTCTGTATTTTAAGACATTTACAATAGAATGTGACAGTTGAACATTTTTGAAACCTCTCAATTTTTACCCATCTCATTTTACTGTGAATGTCCCAAAACGCATTGTTTGGATGATGTCAAAAGAAAAAAAATTTTCGTTGGGACTTGTATTTTGTCACACTGACGGGACTTATACATTTTCAGCGCACGGAACTTGTAATTTTGGCTATAAAAAGTTTTTTTAAACTTACAACTGTCACCTGTCTCATTCTACTGTAAAAGTACCAGAATGCATAGTTTTAATGATGGACAAAAATAAAAATTTTCCCTGGGGACTTGTATTTTTTTGCACTGTCAAAAAATCAGCTGACGATTTTGCATCAAAAATCAGCTGACAAATCAGCTGATTATTTTATAGCCCCGGTTTTCAATTGTAACTTAACCTTTCTTTTATTAAAGCACCCGAGACTATTCGAGAAGACCTCAGGAAATTCTTTAATCAGTCGCTCTTTAGCTAGTTATTGTTTGATAGTACCATAATCATCATAACGTTGGTCTTATCGTCCACCTCAATCATATTTAAAGCCGTCAGCCACTTTCAGCCCACAAAAGGTGCACTTGACCCGGGCAATATAAAAAGCTCCAGCCGTACCAATTTATTTTTGTATTTTACGTTAACATCAATAATGCCGTTCGGTATCATAGGGGCACCAATGTACGATCGGAAATGTCGTGACGTTTTGCGGAGTTCTATTTTTTTTAATTCTTTACGTGCCAAATAATTTTCATATGAAATGGCTGAAATTGGCGACCCTGTGTCTAACTCGAATTTTAACGGCACATTCTCAACCGTCAACAACACAGTCAGTGGCTTTTCCTCCTCTTTACCTCGCGTCACACTAATGTGCCCTATAACATCACTATCGATTGATGACTCATCCACGTCTTCCACAAAATTTTGTTTCAAGCCTTTCTTTACACGTCCCTCCTTACGATTTTCCCTTCTGCGCGCGGTCACTTCACTCTTCTCTTGTTTACACACGGATTTCAAATGACCGGTTTTACCACACACACTACACTCATACTCTCGGTACTTACAGTCATTTTTAATATGGCCCGCTTTGCCACAACAATAACAACTAATCTTCTCTCGCGCTTTTTGTTCTCTGCTTCCTTTTTCCTTCCCCACTACGAAGTTGCAATTGACCGTATTCATGCCTTCTGCATCCCTTCTTGCCGCTTCCAAAGACGTTGCCGTATCCATAGCTTTTTGATACGTGAGATCTCGCTCACCCAGTAGTCGCTTCTTTGTTTGGTCGTCCTCAACTCCCCACACGAACTGGTCTCTGAGACCTGCTTTCCAGGTTCTGACCAAAATCGCAATGCAGCGAAAGCTTCTTTAATCTGGCTACAAATTGTTTCACATCTTCTCCGTCTTTTTGTTTGCATTCTTTAAACTTGTAGCGCTCGGCAATCCCACATGGTGCCGGCTGCAGATGTGTACTCATGAGTCCTATTAACCTGTCCAATGAAAGCGTGGACGGTAGCACTGGTGTACACAAGTTTTTTAAGAGTCGATACCATTCTTTACCCAGTAGCGTCAAAAACAACGGAACGCGCTAGTCGCAGGGCACTTCATTCACCAAAATATACTGTTCGAGCCTCTCACACCACTCTGACCAATAATCGGTTTCTGAGAACTTGCCTAAGCTGCCCAACGTGCCTTTCACGATGAAGCTTGCCTGCTGTCTTTCACGTGCACCCGATAATTCAGCCAACTGTTGGGCCGCTATGACTTTTCTTTGCTCTTCTAGAGCTGCTTTTCCTGCTGCCATACTGGCTTCTTCTTCTGCCAACTTTTACTTTTGTGATACTACCCAACTTGCGAATTCGGCCCACTCTACTTTACTGAGTTCGCTTAATTCCTTTCCGTGGAAGTTACCCTCTAGAGCTTTCGGCATGATGATCAACACACGACGCAAAAAAAACTATGTCCTTTTACCTCGTCGCCAAATGTTGTGTCCGAGTAAACAGAAGAGATAATAGGGACGGGGTAGAACACAAAGAGGAAACACACACAAATAAGCGGGAACACTCTTTATAGCAGTTACAGTTATATAAGCACGTCTGTACAGTACGAAGGCTCTAGACTAAGTCCCCTTGCCAGGACCGCTCGTCGTACCTTCTCATGCTCGCACTACTGATGGCGCTCGCTATGCTACTGCTACATATACATTACACAATCGACGCCAGCTTAATACACCTTAGTGCGAGTGTACCTCTGTATAAAAAGGCTTTTTCTTTTAGTTTAAGAAGACTTTATTCTGCCCGAAAATTTAAAAAGGCTCTTTCTTGACTATTACTCTAAAAAGACACTTTCTTGCACTCACCCGATGGTATCATTGTTAAAAGTATTACGATGCTTTTTCTGCATTCGATATAAATGATTAAACTTCCTTAATAATCTACAGCCTAAAAATATGTTTATTACAATCATCACCCTTAAAGGTAATTCATTTTTTTTTTGTTTTTAACAAATTACTGCCGTATTATAAAAAATGTTTAGTCTCAGAATCTTGCCGAATAAATTTTATTACTTATTCATCGAACTGTTTCATTCATTATTGTTCTTCTGGCTGTCTAAAAATAAATAAAAGTAGCACACCTTATTAAAGATTTGCAAACAATTTTAAAATATTTACAAAACTATTTTGTATTGTGTTCATCAAATTTATTTACTGATTAAAATTTCAACATTAAGTAAATAGCAGTAAACGGGCGGCTTTTTTTGTCGTAAATAGGATGTTCACAATTTCTTAGGAGTTTTAAAATACACAAATTATGTTAAAATCCTTAAAAGTTATTTTAGTATTATAAAATTATAGAATTGCCTTGTATCAAAGTAACAATATTAATTTAATTTTTTTTGATCTATCCGAAAAAAAATGTTGACTACATATATATGTATATATATATTAACGAAACATAAATAAAAGAAATAAAGACAAAATGATAAGTTTAATAAAAAAAAAAAAAAAATAAAAATCTACCATGAAGTGGATTTGAACCCTTAAGTGCAAAACAATCTACGAAGGGGCATAAGCCTTATCCATCTTAGCTATCCGAAGAACATGTTATATCCCTTTTGAAGTCACATATGTTCATGGATATCCTCTGGAGCTTGTCCTACAATTTACAGCAGTTAGGATGTGTAAAATTAATAAATTAGTGGTTAAAGCTGTACTGAAAACCTTAAAAAAAAGTTAAAGTTACATATTTTTTAAAAACATAAATGGATTTGGGAATGTTAGGAGTACGGGAGAGTTAAAAAATATTGTATTGAAATCAAAAGTCTGTGTATATAATTAATGAGCATTTAGTTCCACGATTTAATTAAATAAGATTTATAGATAACATTGAAGCCAGAGCGAGAGCAAGTCAGTTAAATATATACATAGCATGTACTCGGTTGCAGAGTCAAAAGACTCTCAAAAGAGAAAAACTCGTGTCGTTGCTTGCTTTGTCTGTGCGCTAAGCTATATACAGCTATATAGTAGACATTTCCACTCCTCTCCTCGTAGGCGCACATTCGGTATACCCCTTCTACGCGTCTCCAAAATGTGCGCCTATATGGACATTTCCACGCGAATCCACTCCTCTCATACCGATTACAGTAGTAACTTGTGAAGTTTTCACGCTAAAACTATAACGCGCCGTTGTGCGGCGCTTTAATCCTTCAGTCATACTGTCATAGACTATATGCGTGACACACTTGGTAAAACCATAGATATATAAGAAATACAGACTGCTCACTTGCTCAGTGCTCGTTCTTACGTCGTCTCTATTTCTGAAGCACAAGAAGAAAGAGACACAATATCAAACGTGGGTATGTGTTTCTCTAGCACATTGCCAAGACTGGGCAGTGGGGAAGTTGCATCAACCAAACTTTTAGTTTACTGACTCTCCACCGTTGGCAATGTGCGAGAGGGACAGATACCCACGTTCGATGTTGTGTCTCTTTCTACTTGTGCTTCAGCGCCGTACAAAGATCGAGCAGTCTACATTTCTTACATGCTATGGGTAAAACAACGCTGCTTCATAGATTTGTTCACCTTACAATCCAGGGATGGTCGGGGACAGTCTGGGTGAGTCGGAGACGAAAGTGAACAAGTGCTCTTCTCGGATCGTCCCCGATTGTCCCTTACCGTACGTGATGCGCAGTTGTACACGTTAGGTTAGGTTAATGCAAAAAGTAAACAAACTTTTTTGTATTTGCACTTCTTTATTTACAAACTATTGTTTACATACAGCATTAACCTAACCTAACGTGTACAACTGCGCATCGTATACGGTCACGGTCAGGGACGATCGGGGACGATCGGAGAAGTTGTTCACTTTCGTCTCCGACTCGCCCAGACTGTCCCCGACCGTCCCTGGATTGTAAGGTGAACAAATCTTATATGTCTATGATCAACCATACATACATACAACCTCTACCTTCTAGACAACCTCGTGTTGTCGTAGTGATGCTGTTTTGTGGTAACGAATAATGTTTACAAGCAATTTTCTAATTGCGTCCTGCTGTACACGATATAGAAATTTGATCAGGTTGCTTGAATCTTCGAACAGAATTTACCATGTAAGTTTTTTTTATTTTCATTTTTTGTTAGTTACACATTTTATGTGTGCTTCTTAAGCTAAAATTATGGAGCGCAATTTGCCTGTTTTAATGCTGTTGTTGAATTATTGCTTTCATTAACTAGTAAAAATCTAGCTTTTAAGTTAATTTGTATGTAGTATTACGTTGTATGCAATTTTTCTGTGAGCTAATTGTATGGTATGTTATGGTAGTACTTATCAATCATTTATTAAATTAACTTACACTTCCGGTTTATGAATTTTTACAATTGATTTTGGTTTTCAGCATTTGCAATACCCTGCTATTCGAGGATGCAGCCAGCAAACTTCATCTCAAGCGATTTCCAGCTTTCAGGCATCTAATGAATCGCAATTTTATAAGGCAGTTAACAAATTTGTCTGTCGCTCCCATACTTGCGGAGAATTAGGAGTTTTAAATGTCGGTCAGAAGGTGAAGGTTTGTGGATGGTTAGAATTTCAAAGAATGGGAAAATTCTTCGTTTTGCGAGATGCTTATGGCTCTTTACAGTGCCTTATACCTGAGCAGGTAGTTACATAACTACAATCATTTTCTTGTCACATATTTTATAGTTGTAAGCTGAATTGGTAAATAATAAGCTATGCAGTGAACAATTTTTGTAATTTGACTGCATTGCATGTTAAAAATATGCGACATTCATATATAATACATGAATGTACTAGCCAATACTAAATTTCACATTATATTTAACATGAATCGTAAGAATTTTTTACTATGTATGGGTTTGTATCAGTGTTACTGTAGGATTTGTAATAGGATTATCGTAATACTTTATTTTTTAAGAAAAAAATTTTTTACGTTTGCCCCTTTTTATATTAGCAATTAATATATAAAAAGGTCATCAGCCCTAACTATTTGGTTTTTTTAAAAATTGTTCTCGAAAGAATTTTAGTTTCATGTGAGTTATTATCAAAAGTGTTGTTTGCTAATTAGTTAATTTCTTACCAAAATTGCACAATAAAACGAATTTTTCTACCTTTATTGTGATCCAAACTATAAGGTATAATTGCAGAAATTACAAACTTGATTGTTTTTAAGATTTATTGACGCAAGTTTAATGTATACCCTGAATCTTATACCTGATTAGAAGTATAAAGCAAGACGAAAGATAGCATTTAATAGTAATTTTCATATTGGGGATTTTTTTTTCATTGTTTTCCGGAGTCTGTGTTAAGTTTATGATTTTTTAAATACTTTCTTTTTTTTCCGGGGCCGGCCGGGGCCATCCACTCACCACCTATGTGTAGGGGTATATTGCCGCACCCATTTCCAACCCTTTTACTGATGTTACACCTTATCCATGGGCGCAGTGCGAGTATCTCCAGTGAAACACCTTGCCAGTGAAGCTGACACTCTCTGCATCAATGGCGCATCGGGTCCACTCGCCACTGTGTAGCCTTTCCCCGGAGAAGACTCCATATTTCAGGACATCCACTCCTCGACAGTTAAGGTACATGGGTCATAACAAAAAAATTGGTAGATCTTAATAAAAATTTAATGTGTTTTAATTTGAGTAATGATACACGTCCTGTCAAAATATGAGATGATTCCTGTGTCTCTTATGAGAGATATTTAAATCTACAGTCCGTGTTTTTTTCTGTATTATGCATGGCATCTCATGGAAAGGTAGGTTGTGTTCGTCACTGTTGTAAATTGATCTTGGAAAAAAATTTAGACCTATTGTTCAAAACTAACATGTTGTTTCTCAACATTTCAAGATTATTACATTCAAATTAAAAAAAGATCTTGTGTCTGGTTGTCGAGTTATTTGTATCTAAAGCGAAAATAAATGCAGAATATGTACCCATTTTAAATAACAACAGTTTGGTTTTTTGTATGTTTATTCGTTTTCAACATAATTCACAGCCACAGTAGAAGAAGTGAATAATAGTAAATGCTCGAAATTTCACAATGAAGAAAAATGTTCGATTAATTTTTCTGTATGCTTTTTTTCTGTGTACGAATTTTCGGTTACTTCTGCAGATCGCCTGTAGTTTTCTGATAAAAATTTGCAAAACATATCAACACCTTTCGAATCATAAATATCTTAATTTCACAGTATCCCCATTGTTTTGTACTTTTACCGACGTGGAACATCATGCCATACAATTGTTATGGTTACCAAAAAGATGATCAGGAATTAATTTAATTGTTTTGCCTAAATTTATAAAATTTTGAGTGTTAACAACTCTAGCACAATATTTTTTATGCAGTGCACTCATAGGTAATAGATATACGTGCATACGTATGTGTGTAAAGCAGTTTATCCAACTTCATTCAATAAACTACTTTACCGTCGGTAGAATTTTTTTTTAATATAATCAATTTTTAAACAGATGGCGTTACCTATCGTGACGCACGTACCTTAAGCCGGTGCTCTCTGCTGAAACATCGGATCCTGGCTAATTAGCATCCCCCGAGAAGCCCCATGTTTCAGGGATCACTCCTCGCCGGTAAGGCCGGCGACCCCTATCTGGCGCATTGGATCCGCTAACCCATACCTGTAGCCTTAACCCTATTTCGCATTCACCCAGGCCTGAAGACCTGTGGGACAAGAAAAAAACCCTGGAATTACTCTGAAGGAAAATTCCACGGAAAAACCCGCCCCGAAACAGCCGGGGTTACATAAGAACTTTTCCCGATAAAAACAGTTAAAAAAAAAATCTGCATTCACCGGGAATCGAACCCACGACCCCTAAACCAGCGTTGTATCAGTAACAAGCATGCTTACCACTGAGTCAATGCCGCTCTTTGAATACTTTTTGTGTAAAAATACTCGTTCTCAAAAAATTTTAACTTAAAACTAATTATTAATGTTAACTGCAATCCCATAAACCTCTGTATAACTTACTGAAATATTTAACTATTGGTGTCCATGTCAGTGTGCTAAAAAAAAGTTGCCCAGCAGAAGGGCGAAAAAGTTGCCAAAGTCGTAGCTGTCAGATCATGTAATCGTCCACGTAGTCACCCAATCGGCGAAAAGTTAATGAATCTTCCCAATGACGTTAGTACTTAAATCCCCTTACCAATTAACCCAAGCTATTTAACCTCATCAGTATTATTGTTTATTTCTGATCCGTTTATACTATTTTTGAAAACTTTTTTAAAGGAAACTTTAAATATTTTAAAATCGGATTCAGGTGAATGTGACTCAGATAAATAGTACAATCTAAGTATTAAAAACTACCATGATCTCAAGAAATTTTTAAGTATTGCATGTTATAATCAAAAAGTCATTTTTAGTAAATAATAACAGGGTGTCCAGCGGTCATGGAAACCTGGAAGTCATGGAATCACATTATGAACCTGGAAAATTAATTACGATTGTATATATTAAAAAAAAAAAATCGGTATAAATATATGCCTCCTAATTGACTGATTAGTTGAGTAACTAAAGTAGTCACACTGGAACTGTAAGTGCATGGCGCTGCTAAATCTTGGGCCGTCTGCTCTCCTGCTGTCTCATATACTCTCCCACCTTCCTCACTATTGTTACTCACTATGTGTACTTCAAATATATATATATATATAAGGTATATAAGGTATGTTCGATAGAGAAAATTGGGCGAACGCGGGTGACCCGCGTTAGTCCGAGGTCGCCCGAACTCGGCCAAAGAACGCTCGTTCTTCGATTGTTGGGTCGAGTTCGGGCAGACGCGGGCAGCCCGCGTTCGCTAGAATTTTGCTTTACGAACATACCTATAGTATAAAAAGGAAGAGAAAAAATGAGTAGTCGGGAAGACTCGATAAAGAGCCGAGCGAAGCCGACGCGAGTATCGCTGTGTAGTGAATGCCGATATAAAAATACATACACAAATAGGACGAACGAGGCCGAGAACAAGTCGAGAGCGGACTCAGTGAGCACTTCGTTACGAAGTGTTGAGGTGGACAGTACAGCGTAAGATTCGTTTAAGAGAGATTCAGTAAAGATTAGATTAAATTATCCAGTAACCCTGGGTCGTTTTTGTCTGGGATCTATATACATGTATGTATACAGCAGACAGTACTTAGCATCTGCCTTTGTCCCGCAGATAAACGGAGAAGCTGTAAAAAAAGAAAAAAAAGAAAATGTAGAAAAAGAAGAATTAAAAAGAAAGAAAGCTGAAGACACCAAGCAAATTCGAGAGTTAGAAAATGAAAGACAAAAAGTACTAGCAGACTGTGCCAAAAAAACTGCGTTGTTAAATGAAAAAATATTTGAAATGAAAAAAAAAAACAAATTTAAATTTGAAAAATTGTTTGGAGTTGAGCTTAAATATCTACAGAAAACATATATGTAACATGCGTAATTTATTGCCTTAAAGATAAAACCTTTTGTTAAAGTCTATAAATGTAAACAAAGTTTTAAAAAATTTATTTCTAGTCGGCGTTTTTAATGCAATTTATAATATTAAAATACTTTTCTATAAAAGAATTGATTCGATATTAACACTTGATTTTTATCACGATATTTTTCTTTCAACCTGGCAAATTTGAGTTTGGTCATGGAAAGGTCATGGAAAAGTCATGGAATTTTTTTACCGTGTATCGCTGGACACCCTGAATAATTTCTTTTAATACATTGTTCTTTATTATATAAAAATAAATATTTTCTCTCTTTTAGCCGAGAAACAGGAGGTTGCGTTATTCTTTTTCAGTCCACGAATAAAAAGTTTAGGATATTACGATAAGCAAAGTCGAGTTTGAGTTTAATGATGTCACCTACTGAACATCAAAAAGTTCCTTTTATGTACCAGTTTTGTACGTAATGCATGTGATGTAACTGTCAATTTCGAACGCAATCACGCTTATTTAAGGTTTACATTAGACCCTAGGTTGTAGTTATTCACATTTCAATTTACATAGAAATATACCCAAGTACGAATGTATGTTTTTTTGTACTTTTTCTTCTGCAAGCAGGACCTAAACGTAAAAGGCATAATAATTTCTCTCCATCTACTACTTGCGACTGTTAGGTTTATTGATATATAGGTATACTTAAAAATATCTTCCGATTCCCACACATGGAGCAGAACACTTCAACGCTGCAGCGTTTCTCACATTCCAGCTTCCAGCTCCATGTGTCCGCAGTCTAAGACTGCAGTCACATGGAGTGCAATAGAGCGTGCAGGATAGAATTGTCCCCATAAGCGCCTGTGTTAAGTCTATTGCGCTGTAGGGTAGCCCTACTGCACGGTGCAATAGTCTTATGGGGACAATTCTATCTTTCACGCTCTATTGCGTTCCATGTAATTACAGCCTAACAGTCGCCCCAAGCACAAAATTAAGGTAAAGTAGCCTATTATGGTACATAAAAAAAAATTATTCCTATTGTGCACAGCAGTCACAGTTTCATTGTAAAAGTCTAAACAACAGAAATAAAATCTATTCATCATTCTTACAGAATTATCTTTCTAAATCAGTAAAAATCATAGGTGATTTTGAACATTATTATTTAATAAAATGCATCACAAAGCTGTGCCATGATAGGGAAAACCGACAACATAACCTGTAAAACGCAAGGCTCC